GTGTGTGTGTGTGTGTGTGTGTGTGTGTGTGTGTGTGTGTGTGTGTGTGCGCGCGCGTGCGCGTGCGTGCGTGCGTGCGCGTTTGTGTGTGTGTGTGTGTGTGTGTGTGTGTGTGTGTGTGTGTGTGTGTGTGTGTGTGTGTCAGGGCCGAGAGCTGCACGACGCTCAACCTTGGGGCGGGGGTTGCAAGGCGGCCACAATTCATGAACGCAGGCAGGGCCAGCCCAAAGTCCGTTTGGCCCATTGCAGTGAAGCTCGTAGCTGACGACTCGCACTCAATCGCATGCCCCATCAGCAAGCACGCGTCATGGCCCGTGCTGACGCGCCCGCCCCGCGCCCCTCCCAACCCCCTCGCCCGCAGCATGGCGCCCCCCACCGCACTGCTGGCCGCCTGCATCCTCTGGTTCCTCAACCTCCCCATGACACTCTTTACGTCCCTCGTGTTCCCCTTCTTCATCATCTCACGCCACTCCAACACCCCCGAGTCGATGACGGCCGTCTGGCTGCTGCCCATCGTGCCCTCGAACGTCGCGGCGGGCTCGGCCGGCGTGCTGGCGGTCGCGCACGCGAGTGCGGTGGGCTCGGAGGTCCTGCAGCACACGAGTACCGTGCGCGCGGTGATCTTCATAGGTGAGGCCGGCACGCATGCCAGCAAGTATGTTGAAGCCACAAGCACACCCGTTCACATCCACCACCTCAGCATGCACGCATGCGCGCTCGCTCAACACACTTTCGTGCGCTTGTGCACATGCACGTCTGCATGCGTGGCACGTGCGTTGACAATGCCATTCATCATCATAAGCGCTCCTCTCGTTGCTTTCTAATGGGTCTGCTTTCACACTACATTTCTGCACCCACCGCAGGCAGCCTGCTCTTCTCGTATGGCCTGCTGCTGACACTGACCATCACAACGATCTACTGTAAGTCATCCATCCTGCAGGCCGAGTCATCCTGACATCATCAATGCCTTGATACGTCCGCGCGCAGCGCCAGCATGCTCCGCTCGCTGAATGATCTAGTCTGTCACAACGGGGAGGCTGACCACGCAAGTCTGTATCGGCCCCGCCCGTCTCACAGCCTGAAAAGAGCTGCTGTCTGTACCTCCCTTCCTAAACGCCTGGCTATTTCCCTTATTGACAGCCCTTCACCCGCTCGGCCCTCACCCCCCGGGTGCGCCGCTTGCCCCTCCCCCTGCACCCTCGCGCACCCCCAGGGCACCGGCTGATGGTGCACCACCTGCCGCCTGCGGCGCAGCTGATATCCTCGTTCCTGCCTGTGGGCGCCCTGGCCATGTCAGCGTTCTCCGCCATAAACCTCGGATCGGCCGCCCTCTTCAAGTTTCCCGAGGCCGGTGCGTGTTCGGCTCAGCTGTGAACGGGTTGATACGTCGCAGGCGCGAGTGGGCGCCAGCAAAGGTGGTCGCCACCCTGGGTCTGCGGCGCGGCTCTCCTTGGCAGCCGCAGCCGAGCACGCGCGTGGCAGGCCTCTGCTACCGCAATGACAAATATTATGTCCAGCGCGGCAACTCGGGTGTTTTAACGTCAAAACTGGGTCCACCACTGAGGAAACTTCAACCTTCTGGGTTGTCGTGTCAAAGCACATCCCACTTCCGCCGCGCGGACGCGCTCATGCGCGCACATGGCCCCCCCCTCAATCCATGCAGACCCCTCCCTTGGCGACATATCCGTGTCGCTGCACGCGACCGGCCTGTTCCTGGGCATCATGCTCTGGGCATATGCAATGTGGTGGATGGTGGTGGCGGCGGCGTCCGTCGTCGATAATCTGCGCCACCTGTCGTTCAACCTCGGGTGGTGGGGCAGCGTCTTCCCCACAGGCAAGCGGGGGAAGCGGTTTCGTGTGCTGGCACTGTGTGGACAAGGATCAACGATCACGCTCCTGCATGCATGTGGGGCTGCTCTTGTTGTGCTTTGCTCAACATCATTGCTGGCTGTCCCAAGGGCGCTCGCCATGTGACACAAAACGTCCTGTCTTGCAAAACAACTACATGCATCATCGCCTCCTTCCCCTGCCCGTGCTCTACCCGCCCGCCCACGCGCCCACACCTGCGCCAAACAATGCCTCTACCGACCCATGTGATTGCAGGCACCATGTCAGTCCTCACCGGCCGCATCGCCCACCTGTTGGGCCTGGAGGCCTTGAAGGTGGTGGCGGTGGTCTTCACAGCCATCAACGTGTCCCTATGGCTGGGCGTGTCCATCATGACGTTCAAGAAGGGCTGGAAGGGGCGGGTGAGGGCCGGTTGGGGTCGCTGGCCGGTAGCGCGGTCAGGCCACGGAGGCCAGACGTGCCATTGGCCCAGGAGAGGTGGTGGGCCAGGCAGGCGCAGGAACGAGGCGGAGGGCTCGTGGGGCTGGCTGCTGACTTAGCTGTATGGTGGGCCGTGCCCTGTCCCCAAGAGCACCCTCCCCAGAGCCTGACAACACAGCAGCGGTGCACACCCCCTGTTCGGACCCTGTCAGTCCCCGCGGACACGGCCAACAACTCAGCCGCCCACCACCTGCTCTTCCAATCCACAGCGTGCTTCCCATTTTGAGCCCCTCATCCGCCCCCGGCCCGCCTTCACACCCACAGCTCTTCTACGCGCCCTGCCTCCACACCTTTGAGCAAGCCGTCGCTGCCGCCGCCGCCGACAAGGACGATCGCGCGGTTGCGCGCGCCCGCAGCGAGCTGCTGTGCTCGGACCCCGGACTGTCTGGACTGTACGATGCAGAGGTGCACGGCGGCGGCGCCGCCGTCAACGGCGCCGACAGGGGGCCGCGGGCGATCCCGGAAGGGGACGAGGACACGCGCGGCCCGCGGGGCTGCGGCGAGGGCCGCGCGTCTTCTGTATCGAAGGCGTCCGAGGAGCAGGTCTGAGAACTTTGATGCGGCCGGCCAGCCGGTCTCCTGCAGAAGTGATTTGGCAGCATTTTACCAACATCTACGCTGGGCTTTGCGGGCCGGGCGTCGCCCCAAGAACTGGTCACACCCCTCACTCTTGCATGCTTTCTTACCCTTTCTTCTGTCAGTTGCATACACCTCTTGCAACAACTCCAAACACGGGCATCTGTGTCTTTCGAGCTCTTACTTCATGCACTTTCTAAGGGTCTGGCGACCTGTTGGCCGCCTGGGATGCCGCTGTTTGCCGGCCGGCCGCCTCAGCGGCCCCACTGGCGCATCGAGTTGCCCCGTTTGGTTGGTTGCGGCCGCTCGTAGCGGGCTTCGAGTGGTGTGCGTGACTGCAAGCGGCCGGCTGCATATCTGCATACATGCGTGTGCACTGGACGGAAAGCTTTAGGGCCCACGGGGCGCGAGCAACAGGGTTACACAATTGTAACGGTAATGCACAGTAAAATCCCAGCAGCAACTCAACATGCTCTTCCTTTGCAAATGACGAGCTGGTTTTGGGGTCTGTATATATGTTTTTATGTATATGTATATATATGACATGGTCTCGTACAGGGTATGGCAGGGACAACTCCAAGCAGGAGAGCTCAGCTGAACAGCCCGCCATGTCTAGGTGCTTGATGGTACAGCAGACGTGATAATTCGGGGAAAGTATGCAGCAGGCCTGCGCTCAACTCTTTCCAACCGGCCAGCAAGCAAAAGCTGACATAGGCGGCCGCTTTCAAGCACAGTGGCTGCCTAGATGGACGACCGGCAATCAACACGCCATACGGTAGCCCTTGTTGGCCAGGCGGTGGACCTTGAGCCTTTCGAGAGGCGCACCCGGGCTCGGGGTCACCCGGGGGGCCCCTGCCACGTCACCCGCGCAGCAGGTCGCGCGCTTCCTCGAGCTCTGCCATCAGCTCTTTGTGCAGGGCGGCCTCCCGCTGGAAGAGGGCGCGCGTCTTGGTGACTGTGCAGTAGGCGCCCCCGCCGCGCCCACCGGGGACGGCCTGGGCGCTGTAGGTGCAGATGGCGGCGTGTGTGAAGTATTTGTTGGCCCAGTTGCCTGGTTTTGGGTCGGAGGGGGGGGGTGCGGTTGGAGGGGGGTTTGTGGTTGGAGGGCGGGGGGGTTACGGTTGGAGGGGGTTTGGTGGTTGGAGGGAGAGTGGTGCGGAAAGCTTGGGTCACGGATCGGAGCAGCTGGCGGCATCAGGTTGAAGGGAGGGGGGCAGGCCAGGGCGCAGGCCCCATGTGCAGGGCTGGCCCCCCGAGTGTATGGCGCCCCCTCGCGAGAAAGCACTTGATTCGGACGCCAAAGCAACAGCGGGATGACGGGGGCGCGACGACTGCCCCCCCCCCCTGATGGCGGTGGCGGCGAGGGGCTCACGCGCGTGGGCGATGCCGTTGAAGAGGTGGAAGGTCGCGCTCTGCTGGGGGCCACGCAGGAACAGCTCCACCTGCGGCAAAGGAGAGTATATCATGTATGTTTTACATACGCTGCGCGGTACATCGTATGGCACGGAGGACACCACAGCACCTCCATGCCCGCCGCCAAAAGCGTCGCAGCCGCCGCCTCCTCTTCCGGCGCTGCTCTCGCACGGCCCGCCGCGGCGTGACTCTTGCGCCCGCGCGCTGCGATTCCTCTGCACAATCACACAGGCGTTTCTGCCAGCAGAAGTCAGGCTCTCACCTGGGGGTATCCCGGCAGCGACGCGGCCGGCTGCCGCCAGCTGAACTCCGGCGCCCGCCGCGCCTCCAGCTGCGCCACGCGCGCCGCCGCGAGCGCCCTGACCCCCGGCAGCGCCCCGCGCGCCCGCAGCGACGGCAGGCGCAGCAGCGTCCGCAGCAGCTCCGCGGCGCCTTGGCGCGCGACGCAGTGCGCGGCGAGCGGCGACAGGCGCGCGGCGCGGTGCGCGTCGCTCTTCAAGATATAGTCGATCAAAATACAGATCTCGGAGTCACGCTGGAATGCCAGGGAGGCGTCTCGAGTCAGCGCCTCGACGATCTGCGCCTCGGCCGCCGCAACCTCGGGCAGCGCCAGCCGCGCGCGCAGCGCCGGCAGCGCGAGCAGCGCGTGCAGCGCCTGCGGCGCGCCGGCCGGCAGCGCCGCGCAGTGCGCGGCGAGCGCCGCGAGCGCCGGCGCGCGGAGGGCGTCGGAGGAGAGGACCCAACTGACCAAGCAGGGCAGCGCAGACACGTGCTGCCGCGAGAGGCCCTGCGGCGACAGCACCTCGGCGGCGAGCGCCGCGCTGAGCCGCGCGTGCAGCGCGGCGACGGCGGCGTCGGCGGCGGCGCCGGGCGGCGGCGCGAGCAGGGAGACGAGCGTCGCGCACGCCGCGGCCTGCGCCGGCGCGGAGCGCCGCAGCAGCGACTCGGCGGCGTTGTCGAGCGCGGCGACGCCGGCGGCGCCGCGCAGCGCGCGCAGCGCCGCCGCGACCTCCGACACGACGCCTGGGCAAAGCATGCGCGCGCCGTCTGCCGTCGTCGCCGCAGCCGCCATAGCCGCCGCCAGCCGCGCGGCGGCCGCAGTGACGCGGCCCGCGACCGCCGGCTCCGCGGCGGCCGCGGCGGGCAGCAGGCGCCA